GGTGTGACCCGTAGATCTTGTCCAGTCTAGAGCATTGGCCTCGAGGTTGAGCTGTTCATAATGAAATAAGATTAGTAAAAAAAGGTTTTGATTAAAAGTTTCATTCTAAAAGAATGTTGTAATTGGTGGAGTTTTTAAAGTACAATCTATAATTAGGTAGAATTTTGAAAGAATGATGCTATAATTGGTAGATTTTTGTATTACCTGTTTATCAAGGTCATAGAATTTTGTATCATGTTCGGAGAAAACCATATGAGGTTAAAGAAAGAATAGTTTTTTAGATAAAAAGAATAGCCTTTTATAGAAACAAAAGTTTGAATTGGTAAAGATACTTACAAGTTCATGTAACAGAGTCTTTTTAATGCTTTGATATTTTCTAAAACCCTTAAGGTCATCACTTCAAAGATGCAAAGATATCTCACATTTTCTGAAAAAAAAATCATAAAATAAAATAGTATGAAACTAATTTCCCACACTCTATTTATGTTTTTTTAATAAACAAAAAGAGACCACAATAAGATATAAGATTATTGATTATAAAAAATGCTTATAAAACTATACAATACCTTATTCATGGCAGCTGCAATTCCTCGATCTGCAGCAAGTGTGTGCATTAGTCTTAGTGCTTCTGAAGGTGGAGGATTTAACTATAAAAAAACACAGAGAAATTATATAATCATGTCAATTTTGATTAAAACTAAATGAAAGTACATAATGAATGCATAAATCATTAAATACCTTGATTCATGGAAGATCAAGTGTTTTAAAATCATGAAACATATAATTACCTAATAAGAAATAAGTTGGAAGTAAAATATTGTAATGAGAAATGAAAGTACGATGCTATAATAATTTTTGTTTTTTGGAATCAGGAATTTAAGTGATCTAACCATGAATTGAATAACCTATATATTTTATACAAATGTTTTGTAATTCCAAATAAGTACCTTGCTTCAAGATGTTTCATTTTGGGTTTACCAACACTTCTTCTTGTCTACCTGCTCTTGGTTGTTTGCACGGATACCTCCTCCATATGTAATTTACTAACATATGAACAATGTCAATTACTAGTTCCATGGTTTGAAAGACTTATGGTATAGGTAACTCAAGTGCTTAATTACTTATATGCCACTGCCCCTGGTTTACTCGTCATTTTTTTTTGTTTTTTTGTCTTTTATGAGTATTGACTTGTTGTGACTCAAACTCTAGACTAGAAACAACCAAGAAACATACTAAAAAATTGATATGACAAAAAAAAAGTTTGTGGTTAAGATTTTTTGATATTTCATGGTTGATTATGTGAAAGAAATCCCATTCTTTTCAGGCTAAAGAGAGGGTAGAGAGGGATGAAAGGGTTATATATAGATTTTAATACATCAAAAACAGGAAGTTCTATTGAAGTAAAGTAGGCTTGATTGAAACTTGAAAAATGAGCAATGAAAGTTGTTTTAAAGAAAAAGGTTAGATTGCACCAAGCTTATAAACTAGTTTCTAGGAGATAAACTTTATATTTTATCTTACTAACCATAAACAATTTTAATATTCAAATATTCAAAAGTACCTACTCCTATGGTTAGAATGCCATGCCCTTAATTTTTAAACATAGTCACTGAAGACTCTGTTTAATTGGCTTTTATGAATAAAACAAAGCCAATGAAGATGATTAATGGAACATGCAAGCCAAAACATATATAATCATGGAGGGAATTAGCATTTTGAACAATCACCTCTTTCATATACAACCAAATGTAAATGAAACTTTGCCATATAAACAGTTCAGTAAGGTTGACATAAAAGAACCAAAGAATACTACAATTGGTAAAATGTTTTTTTCAACTTTCACAAGTAAATTGGTTGTTTAAGACTAAGGATCGAATTGTTGATTACTTATAATCATAGATAACGAAAGCTAACAGTATAAACAACAATAAATCAAAACCCTAGAAAATTAGGATCAAAGGATCTAAACTACAAAAACCAGGATATTGAATTGATATCATTGATCTAGAATAACCGCTTTAATCACATAATTTTGCATCAATCATCAAAATTCTTAAGAGATTGCACTTAAACAACACTCATGTAATCAAGTCCACTACACGGAACGAATCAATCAACTAATCCAAAGGCCGATCGTACTGCAAACAACATGAAAGAAGGGGGAAGCGGAAGCAGCGGGAGGTCGGAGGAGGAAGCTTCCTCGGTGTCGTCGACCGGAGAAACAGAGGCGGAGGTCTGTCGATCAGTTCCTTCGCGAAGCATTGCAAAATCCTAGGGAGAGCCTTTAAGGTTTCCCCCTGATTTTTCCACGATTCTTTTTTATCCATCCACTGATTTTTATAGTAAATGGACAATTATGCCCTGGTTTAAATTTGGAGATACTAAGTGGGTGTTTGGGATAGCTTGTAAGTTTTTTAGCTTTTCAAAAAGCTAATAAGCTAAAAAAGTGTTTGTATATTTAAAAAGCGCTTTTTAAAACAGTTTTTTTGATAGGAAAAAGTAAGCTTTCAAAAAGCTGAAAAATCCTAGCTTTTTAACTTTTTAACCATTTTACTCCTAAAAAGCAGTTTTTCTTATCTAAACACTTTTTAAAATCCGTTTTTCCTAAAAACCATAAGCTAATAAGCAATTTTCTTAAAAATCACTTTTGTGGTAAAAAAAGTTAACCCAAACACGCCCTAAAGAGAGAGAAATATCCTATGTTTCCAAAAGACCAGGACGGCGGACGTTGCAATCCTTCTTTCTCCTTCGGCACTGCAAGTCTACAATCCTTCGGTATGTCCGATTCTTTTCCCTGTTTCTGGTTGTATTAATTCCAACAATAATATTCACAGTGTATGATCACTTAAGAGCATACGATTCTTGTATGTGTTTGATTATGTTGGTTCCCTGTGTATGTGTCTCAATAAGCCTCTCTAAAAGATTCATTCTGTCAACAAGCACGAGATTGTTAACATTAATCTATTTTTCAGTATGCCTCTCTCTAATAGAAGATTTGTGGATATCCTTTAATAGTTTAACCATTTGACGCTTCTTCATTGTCTTTTTCACATGAAGATCTTGAAAGAAATCTCTGCCACTTTTCCTCCATAAGTTAGAGTTCTTAACTCTAGATCCCTCCCTACCCTCCATGATTATTATTTCATCGAACCACTACTGGAAAATAGCTAATGTAGTACACCACATCTATCTAATGCGGTTGTAATAAAAATATGTATTATAAATGGCTAATGTTAATGGCATATAATATGGCTAATACGGTAAGAATTGGAATTGAATACGGGGACTTACTAATGTTATTAGCTTGAAATCTAATACAGTTAAAACCTAGATCTAATACGGCTCTATTTGAAATCAAGTACAGAACTATCCATTTTCTAATAATATATTGCAAAACCAATGCCAATTCAACCATTTTAATAACAATTACATATGACAGATGATAAATTTGCCTTGGTGAAGACCACCATATAAACGTCAAAAAAGAGATGAACCTGAAAGGAATGAAGTCCATGCACTGTACACAAGCCAAAAGTCATGGGTTTTCTTATATGGGCAGAGCGAAAAAAGATGAGTATACTTGCAATAATAAGTGATCTCACTCAAGATATATGGAATTTAAATATTTAATTCTTATTATAATTTTGGTTTAACATGATTTTGGTCATGTATAATATATTTAGTTTCCCTTATCATACGACTTTCATGCTCTAATTAACGCTTATTGTCTATGATTAAGATGTATCTTATATAGTTTAGATTTTTAGTATTAAACTAAATTTCTATAAAAGAATAATATAATATTGATTACTCATGCAGCCAAAACGTTTTTGTAAAGGGTACATGGGCCTGCAAATATACATGATGGTAAAGTAGTTCTCTAATTGTTCAAGATCAAAATAATAAAAACTTGCTGTCCTTTATAATATAAAATTTGATCTAAGTTACTTCGAGGAATATGACGTGATTTATTATACATGTACATCAATCCAAATAATTTGTTTTCACTATTTTGTTTATATCAACCAATCTATTTTGGTATTTGTTAAAAATATTAAACGAGACAAGCAAAATGCAATGTGAAACAACCGTAACACATGTTTTGTTTTTTTGTGCAAGGGACGATTCAAAGTGGATTTTTTTGTTTGAATCAAGAAATAATATATATATATATATATATATATATATATAGATATATATATATATATAGATATAATTAGTTTATAACCCGTGGGAACCACGGACTATAAAATTAATCAAACTTTCATACTAAAAATTTAAAATTATTAATCAATTATTTTAAATAAATCATTTTAAAGAAATTATTAATTAAGAGATATATTAAATTTTTAAAGTTATTATAACTTCAAATTTAAACATATAATTAGAAATTTTAAATTTAAATTTTGAAATGAGTTGCCTAATATATCTAAATGACACATGACATAATATTAATGAGGAGTTGTATTCTAGTGACTCTATATATCGATATATATATAGCTATATATATATATATATATTATATATATTTTGTTGCTTTGGTTTGGTTTATATATGAATTTGTTATTAACCTAATTTTTAAAATGCTTGTATTTGTTTTTTCCCCTTAAAACTATTTCTTGGGAAATGAAAATGAGAAAAAATATATCATTTTCAATAGTTGAATTATCATAAAATTATTTGTATTTACCAAAAATGTTTGATTTAACCTATGTCCATTTTTATGCTCATTAATGTTATAATATTTGTCAAAAATATTTAGAATTATCAATAATATTTTTCTTTCTCAACTGTGGTTTTCACGGGTTTAAACCTTGTAGAATAAAATGAAATATAAGTGATGGTTGTGGCCACCTACAACAAAAGGGTGAATAAGAACCAAACGGTTAAAAATAAATAAATTGAAAGATGCAAACCCACTCCGCAAAAGTCTTGAGAGTGTTCTAAAATATGTATATGTCACAAAAACAATGATAAATGTGCTTGGTAACAAGTCATCACTAATCTATGTAATTAACCTTCAAACAATCATGAAGGAAGTACCACGCCAATGCACGAAAGGACTTCTCTTTTCCACTTTCATCAGCAAAAGCATATCTCCTGTATTGTTTATATTGTTTATATTGTGAGCACAGATCAGCCCACGACTCTAGTGGTAGAATAACAACATCATAACTCATGTTGTTATGAAAGAATGCATATTCTTCTCCTGTCTTTTCATGTAACACACATTTCATTTCGCCATAATTTATTATATGAATCCCTGGTGGAATGTTTGGATATTGTTCCATTACATAAAGATTTTCACCGGAACTTACAAACACCGGATGATGATCAAAGCGTGGCTTTGGAAAACTCTCGATGTTAAGTGACGTCACTTTAGGTGTTGGATAAAGTCTCACTTCATGGAAACAATTATTAACGTCTAAAATATATATCTTCCCCTTAAAAGCAACTAAATCATGGACGTAGCAAGCAGTGTAGATATAAGTCCATTCTTGTCTACCGGCTATATAAAACCATATTTTATGATCGTATCTGTTGAGCAAACCAAACACCCACCCATATATTAAATGTGAAAATACAAGGATAGCCTTGTCAATTGTATAATCGAAGGCATCACTTGGGACATCATCACTGGGCACATCAGGGAAATGAAGTTCATTCCTTGAGATAGGATTTACAAGCAAGAAGTCGCGGGTTTTCTTGCACAACAAGATCAAGTAACCACTAGTCATTCCGATACAAATCCTGCCAACAAAATGGGGAATGATGGTTTTGAATTTTCTTCCTTCAGAGTCCTTTAAGTAGCAGCCATTCTCATAACCATGTGGAGAGATAGAAATGGACATGGGTGGTCTCGACGCCATAAAATTGTTCTTGTTAGAGACTGCAAATGATCTCCATGACTTGCAAACTCCACTAAATGCACTGAAATCAATGGCTCCAAGTTTCATCATAACTAAGAAAAGCACATCATGGTTGAGATCTGACCAAGGGTCACATCTCCTGGTCCTCTTTATAGTAGATGCATCTGTTGGGTTATGAGCATTCTAACACTCCTAAGTGTACATGCAACCCTAAATACCTTGGATCTATGTTTTCTCTATTATACATACAATTATGAACATCCAAGGTATTATCCTAATCTAGCATACAAAATAATAAATATAACAAGATAGAATACATACCTCTTTGATGTAGAATGTCTTCATGAAGCTTGAGTGCCTAGTGCCCCAAGTGTGACACCTCAAATGGTTCACACAACACCAAATACACTTGGAATAACTTGAGAGAAACTTGAACACTCCTTGAAATCGTCTAGCCCTCACACTCACATATTAGTGCACGATTTCTTGAGCCATGAGATTCTTTTATATGGTGGCTATTAGGGTTACACCATGTAACTCATAACTTTACCCATTCCTTATGCTCCATGGATTTTAACCTCCATGGAGTATCCATGGGTCACCCCATGGACTTAGTCCAACATAAGGAATCTTGGATCACAAGCCCATATATATAAGAATGAATGATTTACACAATCAACCCATATATTTAATTAGTCTCCTTTTGATCACTTAATTAATTCCAAATTAATTCTTGATCAATACTAATTAAATAACCTTATTAATATATTAGAACTTATAATATATTAACCAACCTTAAGTGTTATTTCTCTCATTATAGTCTATCCAAATGCATGATGCCATGCAACCCAAATGGACCATGCCGGGTCGGGTCAAGTCTTACCAATTATAGTTATGGACTTCGACATTAATCCAACAATCTCCCACTTGGATAAGTCTAAAACTATTATTGCGTATGACTTCAGGAACCGATCAGCAATCATAGCTCTCAAAAGCTTCTGTCGAACTCTGACCTTGTCGATGAACTCTGACCTTTGTCAATGACTTGTCCATTAGATAAGGGATCATATATTCCTCCATTCTAGATATCATATGGACTGAGACATGGATTATCAATCATTCTCTCTGTCCATTTGTTGTTTCCCGATTTCCGATTCATGATGACTGACTGATTGAACAAATCAAATCAGTCCTGGCTTGGCCAAGCACTCACATGTATCATCTTTAAATCATCGAGGGGCCCACAGATATCGCTTTTATCCCAAAGGTAAAAGGAATGGATAAACTTCGACTCATATAGCTTGTTCTACTACTTGTTGAATCATACACAAAGACACGTTTTATAACATCGAGTTACCAATGCGTTTTCGTGCAATCAATGTATAACCAACTCATAGTAACAACTCATATCTCTAGGTTTGAAGAATATAAGATATTATCGTCTCATGATCACTCGTGATAAAATCCATGAAGTGATTCAAATGAGCGCGGGTTGAATCCAATACTCAGAACTTATGAGCACTCATGAGTGTTGTAGCACCACTTTGTCCACCAACTTGGACCTCTACAAACCAACCCATGACAGTCTTGATTCATATCTACTTCCAACATATGACCGACTGTGGATGGTTTGAATAACTTAATCATTCAGGAAGAGCGACTTAGTTATTCTGGAAGTCAAAACATGCAAAGTGAAACACAAGAATAAATGAATCAAATATGGTATCAAACCCTATGAATATAAATAAACACTTTTATTTATCACCATACTGATTACTCATTATTCATTGTTTCGGTTTTATCAACTTTATACTTGAATTTAAAACAATAGTTGTCCCATGCTCCAAGCATGTACACTATGTTTTCTAAACACTAGTCATGCCATACACCAAGTATGCATACTATGTTTGTCTATGATCTTTACTTTGTAAAATAGATCAATTGAACATCACTCCAATGATCATCTTTTCACAGTCCCAAATCCTTACTGCAAATGCAAGAATTCCAAATTCATGCCATTTACTGAAATCTGTTAGATTCTAAACTTATATGCATTGATCCTCTTAATGATTATGCACGAAGTCAGAAAGACTTGACAACAATCATTACAGAGCATTCCAAAGGAGATAAGCTCCTTGGAAACATCCTTCTTTCATTAAGTTTCCTAATCTTACACAGATTGAATAATTTCTAACTTTGAAACATTTCCATATTCCATTTTGACTATCACTTCTGAACAAGAGTTGCCTCCTTACAGATTATGTCAATATGGTCCTTCCAGAATTAACATTATACTTCCAACTGTCCTTGAGCAACCAATCTTTGGTAAACCTTAGATTGTCCTCGACAATTGCTTAATCATTTTAGTCATATCCAATTCTAGACCTTTTCCCTTCATAATGCCCCAGGCATTTGGAAAATTTTAGAAAGGATGAATATAACACATGTAATCGATCCTATATCCGAAGCATATGGGACACGATTCATGATGTCTCACATAAAGACTAAATCAGTCTTTTGCTATAATATTTCCATTTCAATTTGCCAAGTTCTCAAAATTCAGATTATGAAAAGGGATGCCGTAATCATAATCGAATTTTAGAACGCAAATAATGGACCCATATATAGAATTTCCTTATGTTGAGCCATTCCAACATGAAATTCATATATATATCCTTGATTAAATACGATTAAAATCTCAATCTAAGCTTTTAGAATTGAAATGAAGTATAATTTCTTCTCCCTTAATTATAGCAAAACAACTTTTTCAACCCCTGCAACCTCACAAATTGAAACTTTTGTTTTCTATAATTAACATTGCTAACTTGCAACCTTTGTCATAATTATCATGCTCCCACTAACATGATGATTATTAGCATAACACTTATGCTCCCACTAGCTTTGACATGTACTCAGAAATCAGCTGACTTTCTTACCAAAGTTCAGATTTCTGATACTAGATTGTTTTGATAAAACTTTATCAAAATCATACACCTCTCTTAGATAGCTCACATGTGTGTCTAAAAAATTTTAGAACTATGAAAAGGGATGCCGTAATCATAGTCTCAATTGTTTAGACCTTTGCCACTTCTTACAAGTCCATGTTAGTGTGCCGGTAAACCACACACGCTCCACTAACGACTTTGAGAATGCAAATATCACAATTGCTATCTAGCTAAAATCTACTTAGTGAAAGTGTTTCCTCACCATCATTTTCATGAATCGGAGAGAAACCTTATGACACTTAGATTTAATAGTGTATGTGTTCTTATCCATGTGAATTTGTCAAAACCATAATCACAAGACAAGGTTAGTGACAAATCCAAACTCATATTGATTAAACTTGTGCAATCTTAAATTCTTGCCATTTGGCAGCTCAGGTGCCTGCCATTGCTTCCAAGTAGTTGTGCAACCAATTGAGAACTCTCAGAACTCCTATGCAAAGCCAACTTGAATAGGCACAAAAATTTCAACACGATAGGTTATAAACCTCAAGTCGTGTGCTAGTGAAGGACTTTAGGTTTTATTCTTGATTAAGTCTTGAAACTTTCAAGAGCTTTAAGACTCCCACTGTCCTCTTGACATATAAGACTCCCTTGTCAAATATTCAACAGATAGTGCGGATTCTTTATCAAGACTAACACTTTACACAATTGGCCTAAGTTGGTCTCTGTTTTATCCAAAACATCACAACTTACCAATTTCAAATGTACAAGAGTAGATAACCTTTTACTCTTACATTTGACTAGTGTTAACAAACCCTCTTTAAGATATGTCACTCAAGTTACAATCTTGGAGTATGACTCTAAGAATTGTTTTGGAATGAAGTATGAAATCATCTTCTTGATTTAACCATTTCAACAATTCATGACTCCTCTTCTTAGTCATAAGAATGCACTAAGATGTCCTTAGAAGACCAGTTGTGATGTGGTTCTTTAATCATTAAGATGATCACAACATGATACTAAAGTACTCTCCCATCTTTTCATATTTGAGAAACTTTTATCTTTCTGCCTAAGTTGATTCTTCCCATTCGTTCTGCCATACATTGAGACTTTTCCAATGTTTCAGAATTATACTTAAACTTGTAAGTATAACCATATTTACTAAGCTTTAGTAAATCATGACGAATAGTCTTAACGAGTTTTGTGGTGGACATGACCAGTGCACAAGAATGTATACTCGATCCCTTTAGTCCTTCACTTGACTCACATATACATGTGAACAAGGAATTAGTCTTAATTTTCCAAAGATGAAAATTCTCGTTTTATCATACTATACAACTTGCATGATTCCAAGTTTCGGTCCAATTGAACCTTGGGTGATGAGAATCTTTCCTTATTTGGTAATATTAGACACTACCACAACCGAAAGAATCAAATCCATTTTTCCAATATGGCTATCAATGGAATCTTATAAGCAACAACTTTTCACAAATGCCATTGTAAGGATACTTAAAATAAATAAAATCAAAACCTTTTTCTTTTATTTTAAAACTTTGCGGAAAAACTTATCCTTACAATCCATATGAAAACCTTGTTGTTATCTATTCCTAAGCAATATAAATATCATAACTCTTAAGTAATAGCCCAAAATTCTGATCACCGAACCATGCGATTGAAATCCATCTTCGCGATCAGAATCAACATGTACTTAATAGAGTTAGACAATGGACTTTACCTGAAGTAGAGCCAAACTTATTGACTTTAACATCCTTAGGTAAATTTGGCAGCTTCGTAACTAATGCCCCTTCCTTTGGCAATAGTTACCTATGGACCCTTGATAATGGGACTATCTCAGACTTCGCCTCTCTCTTTACCATTGGGTCAACCGAGTTGACTATGGCCGATCCCTTTCCATTGGGAAGAGAGAGCTTTACTGGATATCCAATGTCATCATTGTCAATGTCCATAGCGTTTTAGGAAGTTGATCTTAGCAAATAGATAAGATCATTAAGGGTCTTGTCTTAGTCTGTTTCATAGGATTCCCAAAAGAACTCACTATGTGACTTAGAAAGTAGTTGAGCCACCAACTTTCTCAAGACTTTGACACCCAACTCTCCCGGCTTGTCAATATGTGACTACATCTCC